TCGTAACCGTGATGAGCGTAAACATAGGCTTGACGCCATGAATAGATGTGATCGCCTGGTTTCACTTCATCTCTGGAGATTTTATTAGAGAGAAATCCCATCGTCTCCTCAAATCTCCCGCCGATGAACGGAGAACCAGAAATCAGAGATCACACGGCGGCGGAGAGAGAAAGAGAGAAGAAGATCTGATTTTGCTTACTGTGTGGGGTTTCCTTTTCTCTTTTTTGGATAAAATCATAAATTCAAAATTTTCAAAAAGGTATATGTTAAAAAGTGAAAACAATTAATTAAGCAAAAACAATTAAAAACATAAGCAAAAATTGAACTCATCAACACCGTTTTTTCCTAAAATTGGCCCGTTTACACACAAATGTAATGCGCTTTTATTAAATGTTAAGGCCCACTTTATAAAGCCCAGAATCTTCACCTCTTTTAAAGCCCTTAAAGCAAAAAATCTTTGTTCGAGAAGAAGAGTTAAGCCAGTCATGGAAGTCTCAAATCACACCAGAAAACGGAAAGCAATCGACGCAGGAAACAACTCGCCGCCGTCATTACCTCCGGCGTATCGAAGCTCAGACGGCTACGAGCCTAACTCCGTAGATCTTTCTCTCCTTGAAGCACTTGAGAAATCTTCGCAAAATCCAGTAGAGGCGGTTGATGTTAAAACCCTAAAAAAGCTTGTCCTCTCCTTCGAGCGTCGTCTTAGAGACAATATAATTAAGAATCCTATTAGGGATTCTCCAATTGAGGATACTCTTAGATTTGCAGTTAGATTTGCTCCAAACATATTAAGAAAATGACCAAGTTAGTGCTAGTACAGTTCTTAATTATATTTTATTAATAAATTTGGAGCATATCTGCAAATATAAGAGCATCCTCGAAACGAGAATCCCTAAGGACATGTGCAATGGTATTTTTTAAGCATATTCTTAAAATATAAAATTATTAAAATTTGAGTAAAAAGAAGAAAGAGAGTATTTTTGTTTGAGTAAAAAGAGGATATAGTGGATGTGTTTAAATATAAAATTAATAAAAGTTGAATAAAAGGAAAAATAGTATTTTTAAATAAGAACTTTTGGAGAGTGTTCTTAAAATGATGAGAGAGTGTTTAAATATAAAATTAATAAAAATTGAGTAAAATGACGAAAGAGAAAGTAAAAAGTGGAGTAAAAGGAAGAGAAAGTGTGTATTTTAATAATTTTATATTTAAGAACACGGCTTAAGGTTTTTAATTATATTTTATTAATAAATTTAAGTTAAAAACTTATGTTAAGAAATTATGGTTTTTTTTTTGTTCCAATGGTAAAAACCCCATTAGGGGTTCTTAAAAAAAAGATTAATTATTTTGTTTTATTACAAATAGAAAAGTTTATTTGACTAAAAAGGAAAAATTACAAAGGAACAAGTAATATAAATCAAAATCTATGATCTATTTGTAAACCCAAAATTCAAAATCTATGAAAAAAAGAAGAAGCTAACTTTACACAGAAAGGAGGAGACACGANGAGGATGATGATTGTACATTTGCCATCTTTGGACCATCGTAGGACTGCTTTCATTTCTTGTATTGAGTAAAACATNTGATTGCTACTTAACTGATACCTGCAGAATCACACACATTCATCCTTAAATCAGTGTCCTATCAACAGAGTTTAAATTGTAAAATGCTTCTTAACTCATACCATTCATCACACGCACAGTCACTACCAGCCATCACTACCATAATCTAACACTAACTAGATAGACGTACCAGGTCCGAGAGAAGCGGTGGGAGATGGCGAGTCAAAATCTTAACTATGATCTAATACTAGAGATTGCAATTTGCCAAAGCCACGATACATCAAGAGAGTTTTAGAGNTTCAGAATTTGCCAAAATCTTAACTATCTGCTCTTTTGCATCCGATTATGACAAGAAAAAGAACACAATGATCTAGACATGAAACCAATTACCTAACTAGANACATGTATCATTTCATTTCTTTATGAAGTATGAAAGTTACTCAGCTAAAGAAGTATACCGCACCCAAGACATAGCAATGCGATGATCATGACATGATGTGTTGAAACAGAACCAACTTAGCTAACTAGATAAACATAAGCTCAAGCTGAGCCTGCAGCAGTCTTGTACAAGAACTCTCAAAACAGAGTCGTCATATCAAAACTCACCTCGAACTCTCCATCAACGCTGAGAGGGAAGAAAACTAGCTCTTGCTCTGGGAACAAGTCCCAATATTCGGAGAAATCACCACCATTGAGCCTTGTTCTGCAATGACAAGAAAACAGATATGTTTCAGACAAGATTCCTGCGGCAAGCTTATCAAAAAAGTTATCATGAATCAAGTAGTAAAGCAAACAATTTCTATAGAGAAAGAGGGAGAGCAAAACACAATCACATACCGGCTTCTTCTTAGTAACGGCTTTGACCCCTTTCTTTGGGGTCTAAAACCAATTGAAAATTTGTACTTTTTAGCATAAGACGTCGAACGAGACAAGTAGAAGGATAAGAAATAAACCAGTGACTACGAGTGCATATTTATTGATGATTAAAATTACAAGCTTTTCTAGCAAACATGAATTATATCATATGTACACTTGCACATGTATAGACTGAACAAGTATCAGTCGATTCATGCTATGCAAAACTAAGTTAGCTACAATGGGACACATAAGGCCATATTCAAACCAACCGAAAGTGCAGAAACATTAAGATCAGACTAACATAATTCACTGCTATTAGCTTGGATCTCAAAGACAAAAGCAGAAAAGCCCAGAGAAGATGGTAAGGTAAAGAGTCTCAGGGGACAGATCAAACTTGATATGAACGTCTACAAGCCAGTCTATAAGAATTGATCACCTGTCCATCAACCTTTGAATCAATCTCTAATTTCACCAAATTTTATCAAATATGTAATCAATCGAAACAGCAACCGCCGGGTGAAAAAAGTGAGACCAATCAAATGTTCAAAGAAGACCATATCAGAGAATCTTGAGAGGAAGTGTAAACCTTTCACCTACCCATAATAAGCATAGCTAGCGTTAGGAAGTGCTCCAAGCATCGGAAGAAACAAACCACCCACGATTCTGGTCACTTCCGTCGGAGAGAGGAGAAGCGTAGAGAGAGAGGAAAGACACTGAAGAAAACACGTTTTGTCACTCTTCTTCCTCTCTCCAAGAGACCCCGATAATGATGGTCTTGGAGTTACAAAGTCATTTTTACCCCTCAACTAAATCAAACTAATCCTTTCTTCTCTCTCCCTCGTATTTTCGCCGCCGGCTTCTCTTTTGTCTCAGTCTCTGTCTTTCATTTTCTCTTGTCAGTAAGACATACTCATTCGAAGATGTTTTTTTTTTTTGTCGGCTACTCATCAATCGATGATCTTACAAAGTACGAGCAAAAATTTAAGAAACTATATATTTTTGTTGTTGGTTTTCAAAGTGTTTTGTAGTACTGTCCACGAAATCGGTGACTTGTATCTCACTTGTTAGCAAAGTTGAACTTCACTTACGTACCACGTGCATATTTGTATACACGCACGTGCGGACGAAAACTCTGAGCCGTAGAGAAACACAAAGTACAAAGGACAAGTTTTTGATTCAGATATATTCTGTGATTACTTTGGGTATTAATGGGTGGATTTCGGACAATTATTTAATTATTGTTATCCATTGTACGAGATAATGTGAATTTGACTTATTTTACCTTATACTGAATTTTCACTGCTGCCTAAAATATATATATTTTGTTGTTAAGAGTGTTATCATTCATTACTCATAAACCATCGTATCAAAAACGTAGTTCAATATTTTGTTATTCATATTTCCTTAATAATTATCAACTCCTTTTATCCTATATATGATTCTAGTTATCTATTAATATAGTTTAAACAAAAAATTACAATGATATTTCAAGAACCACATTCTTAGAGATACTTTCAAATTAATAGCAATTCTAGACTGAAAACAGTTTAGGAGTTGAATTAAAAGAATTGGAGTAACGTTATACATCGTAGAACTAGAGGCCAATTACTTTGATATACTTATAGATGCCAAATGCGTGAATGTTCTTTACCTAACTAGTACCACATTGCTTAGCTGATGAGGTTCCTTCACGTGGTTCACGTGAGACAAAGCACTAATTCACCTGATTTTTTCTTTGTGTTGGCCCAATCTCGATTTTTATGATTTATACCGTATGATTGAGTAATATTCGAATTTTAGTTTTCGTTCGACTTTTGTTGGGTCGATTTATGTTTTCATTATGCGAGTTTCATTGTTATGTTGAGCTTTTGTCATTTCCAAATTTTGATTAAAGTGTGTGTTTTAAGAAATTTGTATAAAGCAAAACGACATGAGGTGAGGATAAATACAGTTTATCTTAAACTTCTTTCTTTTTTTAATTGATTTTAAAACCCTCTATCAAGTCTTCATTCTTCTTAGATTTTGAATCATCTCGAATACCCTTTCACATGTTTCCCTGATATGCACTTTATATTAACATAACAAAATCACATATAAGAAATCTCAATGCTATGAACAGGCCCGTGCCTATGGCAATAAAAAAGAAGCGGTGGCCTCCGGCCCATTTTTCTTAAAAAAAGTTGGAGGCCTTAAATTTTTCTAATTAAAAGACTATTAGTTAGTTCAAATATAAAACCAAATAAAAAAATGTTAAAAAAAAATCTAAACGAAAACTAAAACAAATTATTAATTAAAATTAGATAAAAAAAACTTAGGGTAATTAACGAGCCTCTTCACCTTCTTCCCCATCGCCACTTCACCATTAAAAAATTGTTTTTCTTTGTGGTTAAAAACAATAATCAAAATTCACAAGTAAGTTTGATTTTAGATTTAGATTAGGTTAGATAAGAATTGTAATTTCTTTATGCACAATTGATTGGTTTATAGAATTGTGATTTTGTGCTTGAAAATTTGGTAGTGCTTTTATCCAAAGACTTTATGCAAAACGTTTTTTTATATATAAAAACGAGTTCGTAAGAAAGAAAGGCAAAAA